TGACCAAACATGGGTTTAAAATTTGTATGTGTCTATCTGTGTTACCTTGCTTAAATATTTAATACATAATTATATTTTAAGCTTTATGTTGTATTAGTAAGCACACATGTGCCGCTAAACATTTGCCTTTTTTCCTGTTAATTCTTTCTCATTTCTTTTCTCCTCTCTTCTTCCCTGATGAGAGACCATTAGATTTGTTAATTTTCTTCTTGGGGGTTACTAACAGTATGAATAAGGAAACATAGTCATGATTTGTGTAAATGTCACACCTCTGTAGTTTTTTCCAGTACACAGATTGATAACTAACCTATGTAAGCTTTTGTTTTATAAATGGAGCAAGTGAGGGGGAATTAGAAGCCCGGGGTGGAATTCAGGCATCCCGACTCCAGGTGCTAGGTCGGTGGCTTCTCCCGTGGGACACTGACAAAGTTCATACCTGATGTTGTTAGAACCTGTTCCCCAAGGGAGTGAATAGCACTGTTAGGGCTCCACCCAGCTCATCTTACGCATCTTCCTGCCTCAAATGGCTTAGAAATCCAAGGTCAGGACTGCAGTGCCATTGACAGTAGCCTTCACCCCTCCCCTGCAGAGCCGAGCTGTGTGTGCCTCAGCATCCATGCCCTTCCTGAGATACCTTGATTCCTGGAGCATCCTGCACATGCTCCTTACCGCTGCACCCCACCACAATGGGCAAACACCTTCAAATTTTTGAATCCTGGTGTCGGCAGCCCTCCTCGGGGAAGCTTCCTGTGCCCCAGCCTGTGTGTGCATTCTATCCTCTTGGTTGGGCTTAGCTGACTGCTTTCTTTACATATTTGACTCTTCCCTGACCAAGAGTCCTCTGAGAGCTGATAGCCCAAGAACCACCTGCTGTACTGACAGCAGTACATACATTTTATTCCCTTGAATTCAACCTATTTAACCTACTTCATAAGTTCTTCTGAACTGAATGTGATTATAAATAAATGAAAGGTTTGAACTACGTGATTTTAAAGCTATTTCAGTTTTAAAATTCTGTAACCCAGAGAACAGAGAGTTACACTGTTTCTATCTCATAAAACTGTGCTTCCTGTGAGTATACAGTATTCACCAAAGAATTATTGACTACAAGATGCTGCCATCTTCCCAGAAGTGACCATAGAAATATTCCTCGTTTAAAAATATCCAGACAATTCTGAAGGAAAAGTTTAGAGTTGTCGTAATCTCACCACACATCTTCAGGTTGGTTGAACAATGCTCATAAAACTGAGTACTTTTGGATTAGAACTTCGTCTCTATCAAATAGTGTATAGAATGTAGAAGTTATTTGGTAAAGGGCACCCTCTGGCAACTATTTTCTCTAAGAGATAACAAGTCCCTTGCTTTGTATGTTGAATGCATTTCTGGTTTTTGAATAATACAACTTTTGGATTGGAAGTAAGTGGATCTAAGAAGGTCTGTACTTGTTTTTCTGTTTATTGTAGCGGTCTCTTCCCTATCAGCTGTGTCTAAGACCCTTACCTTGAACACTCTGTAGCATCAGTGTTAACATCATCGCAAATCTTTACCACACTGATGAGTTAAAGGGCCAAGTTATTGCGTCAGTTGACAATATCCATAAATTGGTTATTTTGTAGATCCTTATACATTCTATGTGTCTGTTTTTCTTTTGGGGTGTTCATCTGGTTTTTATTAAAGTGAAAACCTGTCACTGGTAATACTTCATTTTAAAACTTCAAGAACACTTTGGTGAAGTTGGTAATGTGGACCTCATATTTTGAGGAGCCTGCTGAGCCCTTGATAGTTTAAGCTGTTCCTCACCAGATGTTCTTGTTTGAACAACTGCAACCACTGATGAAAAAAGGAAAGAAAAGAAAAAAATTTTTGGACATTTTCCTTAAGGATTTTGATGGCCTCAGAGTAAATGGGAATGCGTAGGTGTGGATATAACTAGAGTCCTTGCATTTAATTGCACTCATAAGTCAAATAAGATAATTCATAACAATTTGGTCCAGCATTTTAATTTTGTCTGTTAAATTATTCATGTGAATACTTTTGTAAGTTTAGCCATGAATATTCGATTGGTGGTGAATTCATAACCATAAACTATTTCAGCCTTTGATGTTTCTCCTTTATGTCCAATTAACATATATGGGAAGGCAGAGAAAATTTATTCTTCTTAATATGAGACACACCTTTCCCTGGAGACTTATTGAAACTGTCAGGCAAACATTTACCATGAGTAGAGGTCAACGTATGCCTGTTCTGATAGTTTAATAAGTGCTCTAATAATAATCTTCATTATCTGGGAGCAAAGTGCTCTAAGTGTGCATTTTACAATGAGGGAGATGGCATTTAGAGAGGCTCCGTGGTTTTCCAGAAGTCATACAGTGTGTAGGTGACCGAGATTGGATTCACTTCCAGGTCAGGGTGCACTGAATTCCCCACCATCACCGCCTTGACGAGCTAGGTGGGCCATGTTCTCTGTCTGGGGCTCCAGGCCCACCCATCACCAGGACAGACCTGCTGCATGGAAACCCAGCATGCTCTTTCCTGTCACCTGGACAGGTGTACACGGACAGCCTTTGCCTGCTGTAGCTAAATGGAAAGGTGCATAGCTTGGCAGGCTGCTGAGTGTGGGCAGCTAGATGGAGGTGTCAGATGTGTTATTTATGTGAATGCTAACTGTGGATTGTACCTTCTGGAAGGTGATTACTGTAAAAGTGGGGAGGGGAATCACAGGACCTACCAGAGACCTTTGAGTTCCTCTTGAACCTAAACACAGTAAACCATTCTATTCCGAGGGGGAGATCTTGCTGAATTAAAAACCAGTGAAGACAGACATCAAGCAATTATTCAATAATTACGTTTAGAAATCCAGGAAATGGGCAACCTCAAAACATCTCAATTAGTTTGGCTCGAGTTAGATAGCTCCATAATTATCCTATTAGATCTTCATATATCAGACCACAAATTGGTGTTAACCAGAATTATAACCCATCAGAGGACCAAGAGGAGTACGTAAGCATAAGCGAAAGGGACACACTGAGCTTCATATTATACTTTCGAGCACCCCCCCCCCCGTTAGGTGGACAGAATGACCACCTCGGCAGAGCTGTGCGTAAGTCTCCACAGTTTGTGCATTAAGTCTGTGGTTGCAGAGCCCAGCTGAATATGGGAACCCCCTGCAAAGCTAAACTCATTTTTCCCTTTGAGTCCTTAATGATTCAGATTTTATTTCTGTAGCTGAGCCTGGAAATCAGAACCCCCCCCCCCCATACCAGGGGATCAAACTCAGGACCTTGCACTCGAGAGGCAGGCCCGGCACCAGTGAGCTAAATCCCTGGCCTCTGGAAATCCGAATTTTAACACCATTTCCGGGTGAATGTGATGCACAGCTTGGCTCACAAACTGCTCTAGGAAGTCTGTTTTTTGTATAGCAAAGAGCAACTGCGTTGTGCTCCTTGGGTCCACTCGGGACTGTGACTTGGAAAGTCACAGCCTTTCACTATCCCGTTCACCTCACCTCCTGCCAATGGTGCCATAAGAGCCACCTTCTGCCTGCCGCCTGCTTTATTCACAGATGCTCGGTGCTTGTTTGCTCCCCTGTCTGAGCTGCTTGCTCACTGCTGCTGTACCTGCAGAGCTCTTCCCGATGCCTCTGCAGCAGCAGCTCTGCCTGCTTCCTTGCGTTCACCTCCAACATCCGAGAGGAGCTCACTCCTTGGCAGTGGAGTCTGCACCCCTCTGTCACCACTCTTGACTCCGTGTTGGGTTATTTCTGTATGTTTTCAGCTCAGTTCCTCCATTATGCATTTTGAGGAGAGAAGCCAAGCAGCCCAGTGCCTGCCACACCCTGGGCCTGCAGTCAGTCTGAGATGAGTGAAGCAGTGAAGCCCACACCTGCATTTCACCCAGCTGCATTTCAGCAGCCCCGCTCACCACAGTGCTGCAAACCTCTCGTCTCCCCACATGCTCCAGCTGCCTCGGCGAGACCCCTCCGCTGCTGCTCTTGAGCAGCTGCGTTCACTTCGGTTCCCGTGGCATGGCAATCCGTGTAGTATGTCTGTTTTGCCCTAAGACCACCTTTCTTGTAAAGTCCTTGGTTTTGGATTTTGTATGGGGTTTCAGAGGGAGCTGCTTGGGGAAAGCTGCTGAGATGTCTCACTGATCAGATGGCTGGCTCCCTGCGTGAGACATGGTTTCAGGGAGAGTCTGGGTCTGCCTCGCTTTTTATTGACTTCTCCTCCTCAGTGGCCACGTGGGAATGGTTCTGCTAAACCAAGGCAGGTGTATAGAGACTTTCTATAGAGTCCTCAGATAATCAGCAGAGCACAAAGCATGATTTTCTTTCGAGTTTGACTTGCTGATTTATGATGCTGGGACTGTTTTCAGAGTTGCTGGGTCCTTCAGAGGAGAAGGGAGGGCACGCAGGCCTGCTGAGGTCCCCAGGGCACAGAGTTGGCTGGGCTGGAGTGGGAGCCCTGTGCTGAGGGCTGACGGCTCCCCTCTGCCTTGGCTGAGCCTGTGGAAGGGGCAGGAGCGGCTGCTGCAGGCTGATCCAAGGACAGGTGGGTGGCACGGCTTCCCTGAGACCCGACTCGCTCATAAGCAGAGACTTTCTCAGGAAAGACCTCAGGTTGAAAGCTAAGAGGGACAGCTGGCGGGAGAAGGGGGGAAGTTAACCTGGGGAGCAGCCCTCCTGCACCCCCAGCCACCCCTGTCAGAGAACCTCGTGCAGCTGTGTGTCTTTGAGGCATCAGAGTCCATATCAGGCGCCAGGCTTTATTCCAGTCACTAAAGGTAAACACGACCCTCTCTTCTGGTTTGTTTGTCCCTCTCCCTCAGGAGCAAGATTGGAGCTCTAGAGCCATGTGTGGTCCTTTTGGTGTAAAGTGAGCATGCATGGTCCTCTGAAAGGGTCAGCTATGGGAAGAGCATCACTAGAGCCAGGCAGTGCTGCAAACCGAGTCTTCCTGCAGCCATGGCTGACTCACTTGGGGACCTCTCTGCCCCTGCAGGTGGCTGTCCTGCGGGGACCTCACCTCAACCAACCCTGCCTGCCTCTGGCCACCAGCTTCTCCTGGCACAGATGGCCGCGCTGCTGAGGAAGAGACTGCTCCGCACGCGCAGAGCCTGGAAGAACACAGCCTGTGACCTGCTGTTGCCTGTCCTCTTCATGGCCCTGGCCATGGGCTTGTTCATGGTGCGGCCTCTGGCCACCGACTACCCTCCCCTCCAGATGACGCCAGGCCACTATGAGAGGGCAGAGACATACTTTTTCAGGTAAGAAAGGTGTTCTCCCTTTTATTTCAAGGTACATCAGCTGGCTTATGAGTAGCATTTTGGACTGAATGTGTTTCCCTAAACCTCCAGGTGGAAGCCAGATCTCCAGTGTGGAGATTGCACTAGGAGGGGCTTTGGGAGCTGGCTAGGTCGGGAGGCGGATCTTAGGATGGGATTTGTCCCCTCAGAGGAGACCAGGAAACCAGCTACAGTGCTTTCCCGCTCTCCCCTCTCCCCACGGGGAGATACTGTTGAAAGAAACATTCCTTAGAGCAATTAAATTTAGTATAGTTTTTTAAACAAAGCAAAGCAGAAACAGGCAGTTCCCAGAGCCAGGCAGATTCTGAGAACTCCAGACAACAATGTGAGCAGAAACTCTGTAGAAAATCAGACACAAGGCACAGAAGACAGCTTCATTGCCTGTAGCTGAGCAGATCAAGCAGTCAGCTCTTCACAGAGCCCTCTGTGACCGCTAGGACCTGTTACTACGGTTATATTTTGCACTGGTTTGGTCTGTAGATTTTCTTAGCCACACCGTATGTTCCATGTGCGGATGGCAGGCGCCTGTGACCCAGGCCAGGGCCTGGTCTCTGACTTCCAATCTCCAGGACTGTGAGACACGAACTGCTATTGTTTAGAAGTCTCCCAGTCTGCAGTCTTAGGTGAGAGCAGCCTGAATGAAGACTAACAGGAAGAATTTCACGTCACAAATCTCTAACGTGCAGGTGCGGGTGTGGGCTGGGGTGACGGTGTGGCGGCCATGGTGTTTGCTTCACCTGTGCAAAGCACTGGCTTTGGTCCCTAACACTGGAGATGAAGCTGCTATGGATGCTTTCGTGATTTCTGAGGTCAGAATTCACAAAAATGTGTTTTGAGAAGCCTCTGCTGTTTTCAGGAAGTGCATAGGGTGGGGGCAACCTGGCTGCTGACCCCTGTGTGGCTGGCTCCTCCCCACCACAGACCAGAGTCCTTGGTGAGCAGGGACATGAGTCCCGACACACACTGCCTTCCAGGCCCTTAGCAGGAAGTAGGAAGCCCAGATATATTTTAGAACTTTGAGGGTTTCAGCAAAGTATTGTGTATCCCCCCCACAGACACACACACAGTTACTTCCAGGACGACAACGCACAACTGCACACACTGCTCCGAGGACAGCGGCATGTCTCATGCGTGGAGACCATAAACCTCTCCGGGCCAAGGAAGACCAGGATTTGGTGGGAATCAATCCAGAACAGACCAAGTTTAGCCACCTCGTGAATTTATACAAGACTTTCTCAGAGCTGTAAATTTATAGACATGGGATTGAGAGCCTAAAAGAGGAATCCCAGTGATTGATAACTGTGGCCTCAGTTTGGCTGGCTTCACTCCAGATCCAGCTTTCTTACAACCTGTTCTCTGGAAAATTAATCCAATCCCATGAGACCAGCATTAATCCCTTCTGAGAGGGAAGCCCCAGGGACCTGCTTGCCTTAGACTAAGATCCGTGTCTTGAAGGTTTCACCACCTCAGCACTGCCACCTGGGGCCAGATGTCCAACGCATGAAGTTCAGGGAAACACACTCAAACCATTTCCAAACCATAGCAATATACAGAAAATCCAGTTCTGTCATACTCAAGTTGCAAGAAAGATGGAGGCGAATCTCATAAACGCTATGAAATGGGTAGATATTTGGTGCAGAGGTTGTGTCTGTGTTGGAGGGGGCACCATTTGGGGGTGTCACGGAAGGTTTTTATAAAACAATGGCACCCATGAGACTCTTCAGAGGTCAGTATGTATTTCCCAGGAAAATAGGAGAGAAAGTTTCTTTTGGAGGTTACCAATGAGTAACAAGGGCAGTCCAGGAGGTCTCAGCGCTTCCTGGCAGATGCTGTGTAGCTTTCTAAGTAGAAGAGTCTTTCTTCTGCAAACTGAGAGAAGAGAGACATTAAGAAGTTTTAAACTCTGGGGAGTGATATAATTGGGATTATTCTTGTAGCTTCAAGGCATGAAGTCTGATTTGGACCATTCCTCCTGATTCTCTTTTTCTTGTAGGCAACTGTGATGTGTAAGATTCTCTTCCTTATCCTCGGGGAGGAGAATTCTTTTTTGTTTTTATTTTCTTTCTGTAGCAAACCTACAGACTTCATTCTTTACTGGGTTCAAGCCAATTTTCTATTATTGATTCAATCATGTCTTCACATCTATTTCCTCTTACCTCTTTTTAGAAAACCATTTTTTTACATCTCATGTTTAAGATTTCCCAGACCCACCTTTCAAGCTCTTTATCTTGTTTTAAAGATTTGTCTTTCCTTCTTTCTTTCTCTTTGTGATATTTCTCCCATGGCACTTTTTGTGTCTAAATGCTGATCACCCTCTTAACTCACATTTTTGGTACTGTCTACTGGAAATCGTTCTTCCTGAGTTTAGAAAGTCCTATGCATGTGTATGAGTCTCAGTTACAGTCTCTGAACTCAATTAGTTTTGTTGTTGTTAAGTTGTGCATTCATCTAGTGACTGTATTTTTAGCAAGCATCTACACTGAGTTTTCCTACAGTGCCTGATGTCAGTTGCTTGTGCTACATTGTCAGATCAGATGAGGATATTGCTATGGACAGGAGGCAGCTCTCAGAGCTTGAGCCAAAGCACACACTACCTCTTTTGAGCTAGTTGGCTTCCAGTGCTTTCTCCCTTTCCCCCAGGCGGCTGAGAAACTTTTCTGCTTTCCAGACCCTCCCTGATTTAGGAACGGGAAGGCATCAGCCCTTCCAGTGGATCAGAGGAGGCTGAGGTAACATCATGGGAGATTTGCAGGTCTCTGAAGGCCTCCCTTCCCATGATGGGTACTTGCAGGTCTTTGTCCCTGGATGGTGCACTCCAGGATTCAGCTTGTGTTCACAGTGATGATGGGCCTGAACAAGCTCTGCCTGTGACATTTCCCCAAGAGCTTAAGATGTTGATGGTGATGGTGATGGTGAACCTTTTAGAGCTCTCAATAGTGCAAGCAGCCCGCTGAAGCCTGGGTGCTGTAGGTTCGCCACCACTGACCTAAGAGTTCTTTAGAAGCAGATGTTTAGCCAGATCAGAGGTGGCTGAGTCAGAAGTCGTAGAAAGATTAGAGGTGGGAGTAGAGAGGAATAGAAAGAAAGCAGAGGCTATTTTTGCAGAAGCTCCAGTGTTTGGAAAGGTTGGTTTGATTTCATCTGTATTGGAATCACTGGAGGCTCCTGTTAAGCAAGGTGGCCCTACAGGATGATGCTTAGGAACACATCAAGCTCCCTAGGTCACTCTAACGCATATCAAATTTTGAGAAATAATGATTTGGAAAGAGAAAATAACCCTGTTTATAAACTTCCTTAGGAATCACAATTAAGTGCTAATTTTCAGTTCTTACAGTCTGATAAGGACAAACATCAGATGCTCCAAACATTGTGATTTATCTTCAAGCCAAAAGCTTGAAGACCACCAAAGAAGGATAGGATAGCAGTAAATATTTGAAATCTATGACAAATGAGATGCTTTAGAACCAATTTTTATTACTTTTTAAAACAATGACCTCTAGACCTAAGCCAAAAAAATGACAATGAAAAAGTAAAGCATAATTTTTAAAATTGCTCTTAGTGTTACAAGTAAACTACTTTATGGATCAATTTAAAAAATATTTTAAAGTTTGAATTAGTTTTTGGATTAATGGGTCATAGGAGAGTGATCTGGACTGTTTCTCTAGAGAGGCCACAAAGTGATATTTTCCTTTTACACAGCCCGCACTTAGTAGAAAGTGAGTGAATTTCTTCCAGAATTGCTCCTTGTTTATGCATAGATTTCCTGCCTACTTACATGGAACCAGCACAGTTGTCAGTTCAGCCCCTTTCATCATTGTTCATTTCCAGCCGCAGCTGTAGGGAATCATATTAGGTTAGGTATAAACTGCCCTTCTATTTAAAAGGCTTTGTTTTATACAGTGGGGAAGGTGGTATTTTCCTATGCCTAATTATTTCATTCTGGTTTAGATGCTGTAGAGGCATTTGTATTCTAGGTTTATACACAGTTAATGCTCTGAAAACACTGTTCTCCTCAGCAGAAATAAAATCCTAACCTGGTACCTGAGTTTCCATTTCTTTGTCATGAAATCTTGTTTGTATTTGGATGGGAAAAGCTCAGGGAAGGCCAGATTTGGGGAACTAAAATAATGGACAAGCATGAAGGATTAGCTCAACCATTTCAATGCATTAGTAGTATATCACAATTTCTTTGACAGATTATTTTTGAGAACCTACTGAAGTCCAACTACTGTCCTAAAAGTCATATCCTTTCTCTCCAAGATTGTTTTGTTCCAGGAATGGGATGAAGGAGAAAGCTAGAATGAAAATGCAGTGTGGGTGTACATGAGATCCAGTGAGGAGGGGGAGGGGAAGGGGGAGGAGGGGGAGGGGGAGGAGCAGGCAGCTGGTGGGAGGAGCACCCAGGGCACGGCTCACAGGCGAGAAGTGGTTTCCAGGCCTGCATCCCGGAGGCAGGAATAGTGACTTGGAGGGACCCACGCCTTGAAGGCAGGGCCGCCCAGTCAGCAAGTGCTTCCTCTGGGATGGACAGGGTTGGCCACTTTCTGGGGGCTAGTGTCCTCTAAAGATGTCTGTGTCTGAAGACAGTGGAGAATTCTATCCACAAACACACGTACATACCCTTATGTAAACACACACATATGTAAGATATGTGTATATATAATTTTATTTTTCATTTTGTGACAGGATCTCCCTAACACTGAATTGTCTAGGCTGGGCTTCAACTTGCAATCTTCCTGCCTCAGCCTCTCAGAGTGCTGGAATTACAGGCCTGAATCATCACACTGAATTTTATTTTTGCTTAACAAATGCTCACTTTACATATTAAGGGGTCTGGCATGACATTTCAGCATATGTTTGCAGTGTGCATTCATCAGATCTGGTCGCTTTATGTCCAGCCTTTCCCCCACAGCCTTTCCAACCTCAAGTAATCGCTGTTCTACATATAGATCGACTTTTTGCAGCTTCTACATATGAGAGTGAACATGCGCTACCTGTCTTTCTCACCTGACTTATTTCCCTTAACAAAATGTCCTCCTGTTGCACCCATGTTGTTGCAGATGACAACATTTCATTTTTCTCTGGGGCTTAACATTCCTTTATCCATTCATTTATAGGCACTCAATGGATTGCTTATCGTAGTTCTTATGAATGAAGCCAGAATCAGTACAGGAGCTAGATATTGCTTGGACTGACTTCATGTCCCATGGATCCATACCCAGAAGTGGGAGAACTGGTCAGATGATAAATTTTAAGCAGAGAAAATGTCAGATTGGTATATTACAGAGCTCATGGGGAAAATTGGGAAAATTGATAATCTACCATTTGTCTCTGCAAAACTAAGGACATTTTTTCTCCCCTCGCCCTGTACTTGTGTTGCAGGATATGGGGTACAGGAATTCCACACAACTCAGACCACCCTACATTTGATTGTTAATAGCAGTATGGAAAGATAGGGGTCAGCCTCTCATTTCCCACAAAAAGCAAATCAGATAGAAAGATCAGTGATTGAAGATTACTTAGAGGTTCCTTACATTTCTTAAAAGAGGTGAATAGTGTAAGTTCCTTATAAGAAACCAGTTATATACATTGGTAATTTTCATACTGGTTCTTTCCAAAAAGACTTGAGGCCACCATTTATATACAAATCGTCTATAATATTAATTATACATCATTCTTTATATCTGGGATAAGTGTTCCTAACAATGTGCCCTCAGAAATACTTTGTAAACAGCACGAGTCTAGAAAGTAGTAAATTTATATTATTTTATAAGTATTGCATTTCAGAAATTGATTGAAATGAGCCCCTCTCTCATTCAGTTCAGTTTTGAGGTTTTAAATATCTTTCCTTCTAATTTTCTCAACCCAAGATGTTTCTTACAGTTAATGTGTGAAATTGAATACAGTGTTTGTTTCTAAGTTGCTCCCAAAGCTACATGAATTTCTTGTTGCTTTTGGTCTATTCAGTAAAAACTTTCAGGGTTGGTGACCCAGGATTTAGTAATGCTGCTTGAGCTATTAATGGACTTCTGAGACTTAGGCTAGCAGGATAAATATCATAACTCAAAGAGTACTTCACCACTCAGGAGTCCATGTTGAAGGCTTCTTACTAGGCAAATGCATTTGAAATATAGAAACCAAAAGATAGAAAATGATTCTTTATCACAGGGATGTTTAACAGGTCTAACATTCAGACCAAACCAGAGCTCCAACATTTAGAGAATAGTTTTGTTGACTTTAATATATTAACACAATATAACATTATGTAGTTTTAAAAATTTGTTTTAAATCCATGCAATAAGTGAAAAAAATGGTTGTTATAAAATTAAGTGAAAATATGAGAAAAATAATATACTGTGAATGTGAACATATGAAAATGTATGTTTGTGGTGACAGAACTGTGTTCTGAAGAAGTGTCTTGATTGTGTTCTTGCTCACGTGGCTTTACCACAAGAGCAGTGGAAAATCTGCTTTATCCGAGCAGCTAGTAGATCCAGCCCATGGACTGGGACATGCTGTGAGGTGCCACTCTGGCCCTGGGCCTCTCTGGGAAGTTTTGACCTTTCTGCTTTGTTTCCTTTACACAAACAGCAGTGGGACCGCCGGCATGGACCTCACTCATGTGCTCTTGCGGAAGTTTGGAGATCAGGATCCTCCCTGTGCTGATCCGAACCCAGATCTGTAAGTATCAGGTGCCCCATGCAGTGGTGAAGACTCCAACCGTGAACTGTGGCCTGGGAGGGCGGCTCCCTCTGTGATGGTTAGTTCGTGTTGCAAACTTTCATCCATGAAATGAATGTCAGCCTGACGTAGGCTGTTACTGAATGGGTCTGTCTAATGGTATCATCATATAAAACACCGGAAATAAGCTGTCAAATTGCCCCTTTCCACCCTTCACAGACACGTTTTATGTTATAGCAAAAAAAATATCACTCAGTTTGCTTCATAAAACTCAGAGCTGGCTGGTGCATGCCTGTCATCCTAGCATTCTGGGAGGCTAAGGCAGGAAAATAAAAAATTTGAGCATAGTTCAATACAGTGACTTATGGAGACCCTGTCTCAAAATGGAAAATTAAAGGATGAGGATACAGCTCAGTGAGAAAGCACTGGGTTCCATTGCCCAATGCAGCAGAAACAATGACAGACACGCAGCCCTAGGGCAAAAACAAAAGAAGTAGTGACTAAGGATGAATTCTACATTAATTACTTTAAAGAAACCTTGTACATGTGTGAATAACGATTACAGTTCTTTTAAATTAAGAAGTCAGTACACACATAAGTGAGAACATGTGGTATTTGTCTTTCTGTGCCTGATTTATTTCATGCATATATCTATCCACATTTCCTTTATCAATCCATCAATTGATGGTCATCAAGGTGGATGCCAGATCACTGAAGCAGGTAGTAGGGTAGTTACCCAAGCCTTGGGGGGTTAGCAGGATACATGGAGAGATGGATGGAGAGAGGGTGAATGGGTACAGGGTGCAGTTGAAGAGAAGGGGTAACTTCTGCTGTCATGGTTAACAATTAATTGAATATTTCAAAGTACTTAGTCTAAAGAATTTTGATTTTTTCCAGCACACAAAAATGATACATACTTCAAATGATGTATGTGATCATTTTCCTGATCTGATTATTATACAATGTGTACATGCATTAAGATATCACAACGCACATGACAAATAAGTGTGGTTATTATGTTTCAATTAAAAATTTTAAAGTGTTAAAAAAAGAAAGGTCAGTGCATCAGTGTGTGGTGAATAATTGTGAAAGTGATCATCCTTGAATTTGAAAATGATAATATAGAGATGATCTTTCTATGAAGCCCTGGTAGAGCATGCCTTTTAGCATAGGTTTTTGCTCCTATTTTGCTCAACTTGTATTTATTGAGGATCTACTATAAATAAAATGCTGCTTTAGGCATCAAGATTAATAAAATACATATGGCCCGGTCTGAAGAAATTTACAATTCTGGATAAAGCCAATGAGGCAAGTGATAAAAAACCGTAATGGGACATGGAATGATAGAAGTGTATTTTTTAAAGTAATAAATACAGAAATCCAGACAAGGATGCAATATTGGCAATATGTTTCCTAATTTGTGGTGACATATTTTTCCCATTTGTCATGCTGGTAATTTGTTTGAGACTGAATAACTATTAATGTTCTCAGTATGGAAGAATTAATAGATAATTCATTATGTTGCTTCCCTTTAGTCTTCTTTCGAAAAACAAAGTAATTCATTTAACCAAGGCGTCAGTGGTGATGATGTGATTTCCCTCTTCTTCTAATGAGACATGGAGGATGTAAATCACATCAGTTTGAGGAGCTGAAACAGAACTTCGGACCTCCGGGGCTCCCTCTTTGGCCCATTGTTGGATTAAAAAAAGACCAGTTAGCAGAAGACAAATATTTCTTTTATCTAGTGCCTCACAAGGACCAACAAAAGGTGGAGTCATGTGTCAAGGACACCAGAATACACGCAATACTCTACTTGGACCTACTTAGGTTTTAGTTGCTCAAAACACACGGCAGTGGCCCCGAACTCCCTGCCTCCCGCTCTCCCCAGAGCTCTCTCCCTGTGCCCAGCCTGATCACCAGCCTTATGTGGGCTCCCTGCCCTGTGTCCTGCGCTGTGAAACCCACACAGTCTGCCCTTCACTCGGTCTTTTTTTGTCACTGTTTGTACCCATTTTCTCAGTCAGTGTATTGATGATCACCTCATCACTGGGACAAAATACTTGGCACTTGGAGCTTAAAGGAGAAGAGGTTTATTTTAGCTCACCGTTGCAGAGGATTCGGTGTGTGGTTGGCTAGCTCCCAGGAAGCAGTGGAAGGGCCTGGAGGAGGAAAGCTGCTCACATCTTGGTGGTCAGGAAGTGGAAGCAGAGAAAGAAGGGGGAGTCAGGGACCAGAGCCCACCCTTCCGGTCATTTCCTCTACGAGGCTCATTTGTGTGACACTTCAGTGACAGATTCCTCCTATTGGTTCAGAGACAAGAAGGTCTCTCCCCACTTCCATCCTTAGTGTTTTAATACAGAACAAAAAGTAGTCTTTACCAGGTCTTTTATTTCTTTGTTTTTTTTTTGTACCAGGGATCGAACTCAGGACATTGCTCTTGCAAGGCAAGTGGCAGAACCACAAAGCTACATCCCCGGCCCTAGGTCTTTTATTTCTATGAAGCCTAAAAAGCCACTGAGGGAGATGTGTAAAATTTATTTTCATAATTTAAGAAAAACATTGCTGTGATTAGATTGCAGCAATGCAATGCAGGATCTCAGCTGTCTAATATTCCCAGTGCCTGTGACGATTTAAGGCTCCTCAGCCTGGTGAATGCTGGGAGGTGAGACTTTGGAGCCTAGAGGGATGCTGACAGGTGCCTGAAGGTGGGGAGCAGAGGTCCAGCCCGGAGTGCTCACCTCTGGCATCACAGAGCGGAGTGGGGAATGCACCTCCAGAACCAGGGGGCTTCCATCCCACCCCACCTCCTCCCTCACTTGCGGTGTGACCAGGCCACCTACCAGAGCTCCCTGCCTCTGTGGGCATCTGCATTCCCAGAGCAGTGCTCTCCACCCACAGGGTGACCTCTTCGGTGCTTTGGGTCTCTTCCAGGAAGTTTTCCTTGCAGAGCATCATTCTTAAAAGATGTGCTCACAACCTCTGCCTCTGTCTGAAGACTTGCTGTGCACATTAGGCTATCTATGTCTTAGTCACTTTCTTGTTGGTGGGACACAGTAGCTGACACCCTCGATTTTAGGAGGAGAGATGTATTTTGGTTCAGTTTCAGTCCATGGTCCCCTGGCTCCAAGGCAGGGTGAGTGGTGCATGGGCACAGCAGAGGAGAGCTGCTCACCAAATGGTTTCGGGGAAGCAGGAGGGAGAGAAGGGAAGAGTGGGGAAGAAATGAACTCTTCCAGGCCACACTCCAGCCACCACCTCTTCTACCCAGGTCCACCTGCTACCAGTCTTCCTGATCCAGTCTTCTCCCTAAAACCTGCCTATGAGCACGTGAGGCTTTGAGGGCACCTGGATAGAAACATAACCGTACATTAGAGAGGCCTGTGTAACCCAGCATTTCCAAACCCTGGGCACCAAGTGACCTTGTTCATGAAATAGCTGTTCTAGAACAGTGTCGTGGCACGTGTGTCCTATGGACTGCGTCAGGGGCGTGCTCTGCTACGTGGAAAAGTGCATTTACGTTGTTCCTAGACTCCGGAAGGAAACTGACACAGAAACCTCTAGATGGTCACCTGCCGTTCCATCTGCCCATCCCTCATACAAATGCTAACACAGCGTCATGGGGAGTGTTTGGACACAAAACTTGTTGGAAGAGAAGAGAGGCTCAGAACACGGGGACCAGTCAGACCTGTCATGGCTCATGATGTGAGCTCTCCTGGACCTGCATGTTCACTCTTTCAAGGGGAGCTGGGGCCAGAACAATGAGCATTTGGAAGAGCAGCAGAGGACTGCCCTGAAGCAGTTCGCTCAGTTGTGTGCTCGCTGTGCCCGCCTGTGTTCCAGTGCTATAACTGAGCACCCCCAGCTTTGCTCCCCACAGAGAAAAGAGGTTATTGAGCCTAAGGGTCTGGGGTTCAGAAGCCTGGCGCAGGCATCTGTGTGGCTCTGACCAGTGGCATCACATGTGGTGGCCAGTAGAGGAGATCACATGGCAAGGCAGGAAGCAGGAGGAGCCGGGGCCAGGCTCAGCTCAGCAGGCTGCTCTCCCAGGCTCTAACGGGAGTCCCATCATGTTCCCTCCTTCGAGTCCTCACCTCTTAACGGTCAGGCCGTCTGCCTGTGCCACCATGCTGGGACCAAGCTGCCTGCACACGAACCTCTTGGGGACAAACACATCCACACCGCAGTGGGTCTGCAGCATCATCTGGAGCGTGCGTGTGAAGCAGACCTTAAGAGCCATGAATGGAGTCATTTCTAAAAGGCAGTAGTTGGGTACATCAGAGCAGTTAAATACGTAATTCCCCTAGGTGTTATTTCCGCGCTAACTTCTAAGGCTCAAACTCAAGTCTGGAGTGGGGGCTGAGCGGCCAAGGAAGTAGTACTTGGAGAAGTCTTTCAACTTTTTGATATTTCAAATGATTACGTGGGAAGTGTACTCTCCTAACCTGGTTAACAAGAATGGCCAGTTTCCTCCCGCTGAGCCACTCTTGTCCAAGTTGATGTGGTACTGGCGGCCTGGCCCTGCAGCCGCACACCTGGACCACCAGTGTGAGCTTGGAGCCCAGGGGGCCTGACCTTCGCTGGCTGTGTGGCCTTAGGCCAGCTGCTGAACCGCTCAGAGCTCTGCTCCTTGTTCTAAAAGCCAGGGCAGGGAAGAGGATTTAGTGTCTAGCTGGTGCCTACAATCCAGTAAAGAAAGGTTAGTTTCCTCTGTTCTCTCCCAGAGTTGGAGTAATTAAGAATAATTACCATTATTCAAGTAAATTTTGATTTATGCATGTTGGGAAAAAAATTTATGCATGTTGGGAAGTACGGAGCCCCCAAGGATAGACAGCTATAGGGAAACTCTGTAATAGGAAAGGCTTTTGAGCCGCTGCTGCACCATTGTCCTAACCTTCGATTGCACCGGAGTGGAGATGTACTCATTGTCTTTCTCTACGTGATAATGAAGTGGCTGAGTCAGGCTCAGAAAAGGATTAGCTAGGTTCATTAATGAATGGTTTCTTGGAGCCTGGTCAGGAGCCTGCGGGCCTCGCCCCCCCAGCAAGCCTAGGCTCCTCAGGAAAGCCAGGAGCCCTGGTGGCATTCCGCACAGGAAGCCGCGAGGGTCCTGTCATATAATGGAAATACTGGCGCTGTAATAAAACACTGTCATCAGATTAGCAGCTCACACTGCGAAAACAAATGTCAGAGCGCTGCCTCGGCGGCAGTGGGAGGTGATTGTCTTGGGAGCTGTGTTCTCCCGCACCACACTGCAACTTGCTTTTATGCAAACAAAATAGCTTTGTGAATGGAAAGACCATGCCAGCTCTCTCTTTTGTTCTTTAGGATGAAGTCTTCATGTTGGCGTAGGGATCCCTTTTCTCCCTCAGAATTCCAGGATTCGTGTGGCTGCCTGGTGAGTTCTGCAGCAGCTTTGATCTTTTAAATAAAAACTTTAAGAGAAAAAGATGAGTTTATTCCAACTGTAAAGTCTTCAGTTTTGTTTTCCAAATCACTACGACTTTTTGGTTCACTTGATTGGCTGCTGCTGGGAAAAATTTCCCCACATCATCCCATAAGCGAACGTCACTTATGCAGGGCTGGGTTCTGCTCCCCACCCCACCCCTGGCCTCCTGCACTTGCTCATTAGTGTCCCCTACAGGCCTTCACTAAGCTGGTTAGTTGGCTTCCATTAATGATAAGCTGGAATCACCCCACGGGAAGCATTTCCTCACACTTCAAGGGAAGATGACCTTCAGGTGGTCATCAGATTTTTATTTGAGTTATGAGAGCTAGATTTCCTCTCTGAGACCAAAGTTGGGGATGCAGGAGAGTGATAACCCAGAACCACACCAAGAGCTGGGAACTGAGGGGCTGGCAGGCTTCCTGGGGGTCTTCTTGGCCTGCACCTACTTGGCTCCGCTCTACCTGAAGCTGCTTCCACTCTGATGGTTTTTTTGACACAACTATTTGTTTTTCTCTGTTTTGCTTCTTCTGTGTACTCATAAAGCCTGTAATGTTTTTCTGCATTTTTATTCTTCAGCGTTGATTTAAGCATCCTGTTATACCAGGAGCTTTTGTTTACCAGCTACCAAAGCCTATTTTGATTAGATTGGGTTTCAGTGATTTAGGGATAAATGAATAAATATCGAAATGGTTTATGTCTGTGTTCCTAAATCCCATCTAACTCACATGAACTGTGAGATTTCAGTAATATGTATGAAAGAATAAAAGATTTCACATGAAAAATTCGATAGCCAAGTAAGTTTCAGAAATGCTGGGTAAAGCAAAGGACTAAGGAGAATAAAAATAGGGTTTTAGAAAGACATATCTTGATGCAGTGATATGATGGATTACAGGGAGAAATGCTAGGAGCAGAGAAGCTTTAAAGGCTGTTATATTAACCTGTGCACATGATACTTGGGTTTGGCTGAATCATTTCTCCACCTGTCTATTTTAGTTGGCAAGTAGAAATTATGTATATGTGGTGTAGACTGTGAAGTTGTAATCCATGTATATATTTTAGAATGGCTAAATCCAACTTTTCCAGAAAGAATGCATGGGTTAAATAGCTAGAGGTAGCCTTCCACACACAGTGTATTTATTACCTTCTCATGCTTTTGTGTCAAGAACAACTGAAACTTATTCTCTTAACAGTGTGGAAATATATGATACATTGTTTTCAAGTTTAGTCACCACACATCCCACACTCGGTCTCTGAATCTTATTTCCCCCATTTGACTGATGATTTGTGTACTTTGACCAATGTCTCTCCAATGCCCTGTCCTCACTGCCCCTGCCTCTGGCAACAACAATTTGACTCTGCTTCTTTCAGTTTGACTTTTTCCCCTTTGGCTGAGCTCTAATTGACAACAAGGATTGTTCCTTTGCATCTCTTCCCTGAGGCCTGTCTAGCAGGAGCCTAGAAGTGATGTCTTCAACCTGTATAACCTTCTTCCTTTCCTAAACTTTAAAAAAATGTGTTTCTGAATCTAACAGCAAACACATGCATTAGATCAGGCTGTTTTTATTTTGCTTTTGCAGATGAAAGCAGGCACTTCCAGAGCTGAAAGGGAAGGCGCAGGGCCCAAGCGTTCTATTTTTCTGTAGAGTGTCTTCTTCCTTGTTCTGGCCGAAATGGAGGTGAACCCATCGAGTGTACACTGCTCTGTGGCACACGTGGCCCTCTGCAGGCTCCAGGGGTGGCTGCCACCTCCTCCCTTGCTTGGCGCTCATTTCCTGTCAGACCCCGAGCGGCCACTGTCCCGAGCCTCAGGGAGGGGTGTGAGTCCCACTTGAGACACCTCTGAGAGGAACTCACGCTTGTGAATGCTCTTGCTTATCTTCTTCCCCTGGGTGCCTCTGTCTCCCTTTCAGCTTTATCAAACCCAAGATCTCCCCAGTGAAAACATTTTTCCCTTTTCTAGTTCTTACACATCTGCCCGAACTACGCACCGAAAAGGATTTGAAGTCCTCAGATATAACTGAGTGCTGGGGTCACTGTGGAATTCCCACACAATCCTCAGATGTAGGAGACTCTTAAAGAGATTTCAGAAATCAGAACGCGTAAAAAGACTGATGCTAGTTTATTAAAAATTGAAAGCTAGGGAAAATCATGCTTAGTTTAAAGCAATGTCAGAAAGCCAGTGTGTGAGTTATGAAAGTTTCTCTCTTATCTCTTTGGAAACAATGACAGCAGTGTCCAAACAGAAGTGCTGGGGCTCCTTACCTGACCAACCACCTGGGCCACACCCTGTTTAATCTCTCTGAATTCCCGGTGGAGCAGGACTTACTGGTGCCTTCGGAAAAACCAAGGTGAGTTCAGAACTCCTGTGGGTCTTTTCTGTGGTCTTTGAGTTACAGTCATCCCTGAGTATCTATAGGTATGGGTTCTGGGACCCCCCTGGATATCTTTCTGAAAGGGATGAAGACACATGCTACAGTGATCCAAGCATATCTATCCATGCAATAGCTAAATCGTGGAAGTAGCCCGTATGTATGTCCATCAACAGATGAGTGGATGAAGAAAATGTGGTATTTACACACAATGGAGTACTACTCTACCGTAAAAAAGGATAAACATGGTCATGTATAGGCAAATGGATGCACTTTGCAACCGTAATATTAAATGAAATAAATCTGACACATAAGCTTAAGAATCACGTGGTTTCTCTTATATGAGAAGCCCAACCTATAAATAAAGAACAAAATGAAAGATAGATAATAGGAAGTAGGGAGATAGAGCTTTCTCAAAAAAGAGGATCAAGAGATGAAGGGAGTAGGGAGAGAAAGGAATGAAGATGTGTTATGTACATGCACCAGCTCCACAGAAGGAAGGAAGCATTATGGGCTGCAAATGTGTTCTAATAAAAAGTGGCATGGTGTTTGCATGGGATTCACATGCAACTTCCTGTGTTCTTCAAATCTTCTCTCAATGGCTGTCATATCTAATACAACGCAAATGCTATGTAAATAGTTGTCGCTCCATGTTACTTAGAGAATCATGACAAAAAGTAGTCTGTACACACCCAGGGCAGATACAGTCTATTTTTTTGTAATGTTTTTCATCCCTGCTGGGTTGGACCCACAGATATGGAGGCACAGATACAGACGCTGACGGTGCCATTGTTTCAAATGCTAACGATCCTGAAAACTCAAAAGTCTGCCTCACTTGTGCTTGTAAGAGTCCTGGAGCCATGCGTGCACCAGGCCCTAGTCAGGTTCCTTTCCGTGGACCTCCAGTCTTGAAGCCTTGGGGGATCTCTCAGTGAGATTCCGTCAGTGGCCAAGGCAGGGGCCTGCAGTGATTTTGCTGCCTTTGGGACTGGGAGCAGATGCGTTGGCTGCATAATGAAGTAACAGTCTCAGTGAAATTCCCGTGCAGCTCCTGTCTTAAAATTCCTCTGAGGCGACTTCTGGGAAAGGTTTTTCCTTCAGCCCAAGGGTGCATCTACATGACACTTGCCACACTGTTGAGTTTTTCCAGCTCCCCGCATGCCATGCATTGCCTCATGCACAGGCACCTGGGCCATGCAGGAAGCCTGGGATCTCCATGCAGGCCAGCGAGTCACCGTCCCTCAGACACCGACCTGGCTGTCCCTGCTTGGTTTGCCTGTAGCTCTTTGCTGCCATCTCCTCGGCTCTCTGGTTTCCGTCCCTGACCCTGACGGTTAGTTTTTCAAAGCTAGGAACTTGTGTATGCAGAACATGGAGCCGGCTCTGGCGTATCAGAAAGTGCGTCTCAGAGGTCACCATCTTGCTTGGAAATGCATGTTGCACAGTGCCATGATTGGTTCTCAGCCCACATCTGTTGAATGAATGAATGAATGAATTCCTGTGAGCCTGTTGGGGACGTAACATCCCTATTCCTGGGTCTCAGTTTTTCCAGTGAGTTTGGGGTACGAGATAGTTCTTCAATCTCTTTGTACCCAGAGACTGGGAAAGACAGCTTCATATGCACCTGATGTCTAATGTCAGCTGTTTGGGAAGCCAGGTATCATAGAGCCCAGGAAGCTACGGAGATAAAAGACACCATTTGCACCAAGGAGCAAGTCTCAGAGCTGCCTGGAAGATGAGCTCGCAAGCACGGGGCTGACCCATGTGGTGGCTGATAGAAGGGATGGCATGCAGGTGCGGGAGGATCCCAAAGAGCAGGAGGATCTTACCCGCCTCTCATCCTCTGGTGCCTCCTGGGCTCAGGAGCTGCATGAGTCGGGGGAGAAGGGAGCAGAGGAGGCGATGAACAGGCCCTAGTCGTCCGTCCTGTGTAGACTCCCAGGAGGATGACCTGAACTGCAGCCGGGGGCTGGGTCACCACCACGACCTCAGGTGACATGCATCACCCAGCAAAGTATTCATGCTGAGACGCACATGCTCCCATGTGACCGGCTCTTCTTGGTCTTTCTTCATAAGCAGTACCTGCCTGGGGGCTGCCAATGCCTTGGCCGGTGTGGTCATGCCCCAGACCAGAAAGAGAACCGTGTGACCACTCTGACCTCTTTGCATGGTGGGTGCATGTCCCCTGGGTAGCCGTGTCTCCTCCCCCACCCCAGCCGGAGCACTGATGCTGTGTTTACTGTCAACAGCCTCGGAGGTTGGTCTTTTGGAGTGCGGGTCCCCAGTGAAGTTCAAGACATGAATGCAAACACTTCAAAACCAAGAACTCTGGCAAAGGTAATAGTGTTCTTTACCTTTTCTCCCTGTTTTGGAAAATATCCAGAGCAACTAAACATCCCAATATAAGCTAAGCACAGTGGCACACTGTAGTCTGTAGTCTCAGCACTCTGAGAGGCTGAGGCAGGAGGATGGCAAATTTGAGCCCATCCTGGGTGACTTGGCAGCTTAGTGACTTAGTGAGACCCTGTCTCAAAAGAAAAAGCCTGGGATGTCACTCAGTGGAAGGCCTTGGGTTCTTTCTGTCTTTAGTAACAACAGTAACCACAAGGAATCCAAATACATTTTGAGCACAGAGTTGAAGGAAGGGATCAAATCAAATCCCTGTGCTTGTTACTGAGTGTTGTGGATGCCTGTATGTAAACATTCCCTTGAAAGAGAAAATGAATTGTTTTCCTTTCGATGGTTTAGAAATGAACAAATAGACAACTGCTTTTTGTCAGAACAGGACTTCACCAACAAGCTCTAAAACTAATGAGAAGATCATCTCTTGTTAAACACACCCATAGTTGCATTAACTAGAAATGTCACTCTTATCCCTAGTGGCCAAGGAATTTTTTTTGTACACAAACTTGAATTCCTTATCTTAAAAGAGGCTGGGTGGACACCACTGAAACAAAGATAGTGGCAATAACACAGGACCAGTCTTAGGGGCCCCAGCAGGCTGTCACGAATTAGGACATTTCCTAATGGCATTGCTGAGGGAGGTGGGAGGGGCTGGGATGCAGGGACTGAAGTCAGCAGATGGGAAAGATGGAAGAATCCAAGCTTCGGTTCTCACCATTGGGGAACTAGTGTGGTGTTGCTGGGAGCACACACTGGTGAGAACGAGGTAAGTCCAGGGAGAGAGGATGGACATGAGGTTGGCTTAGCACGTCAGTGTGGAGTGACCACACCTTTCTTTCCTTAGCCTGTGGGTGTTGGATCTGTGCCCAAGCTCACCAAGAGCTCATGACACAGGGGCATCTCTGGGGCCCAGGGAGCCCTGTCTGCTCACGGCTCAGCTGGGCTTGGGAAGCTCAGCTGCACAAGGACCCTGCTCGAGGAGGTTTACTCAGTGCATAAAGGTTCTTAGCAGGCCCTTCTCCATGTAATCCCTGATGAAAACCTTCCCAGTCACACTTCACAATTTAATCCTGGTAGAAAAATCTGAGTCACAGCGTGGATGCTTAGAAATCCCTTCTTCAGCTGAGGTCTGTTTGAATTGCTCTTCCTTTCAAAGTAACCAGAAGACTTATAGCTCAACATGAAACTATCATCGTTCAGAACTTGGTAGAAAAACCACCCAAGGTGTATTTGCCTCACACACTGGAGCATTCTGTGCTCCGTTATGAAAACATTCCTCATGTGCAGAAGGCATCTGTCGATTTCCTTGAAGCACACTTTGACTTTTTAATCTAGCCACACGCAAACCCTTCTTACCTACAGCAGATGGCTGTGCCTTTGCTCTAAGACATCTGCCGCCTGGGTTGGGCTCTTTGTTCAGGGAGGAGGTGGGACAGACACCCGTGCCCTTGCCTGTGTTTAGATTGTTCTTCTGCACTGAACCGGATGAGTCTGAGCGGTGGTTTCTGGAGTTTCCCTGGTGTCTGGTGTGTTTTTTGCAAGGCACAGGCCTGCAAACGAGGTGCATGTGGCCCTGTGGGCAGTGAGGCCCTTCCTAGGGCTCTGAGGAGCCCACAGCGAGGTGTGAACAGTCCGCTGTCTGACCCCGGGCGGCTGCTGGTGGCTGATGTCCCAGATGATTGCATTAACCTTTCAGTAATTAATGACCCGCCTTTCCTTTCTGCCTGCAGGCTATATTCACATGGCATCCGTGGTAGAATTTCCATAGTCCTTTTGCAGGAAAAAATGGGAAATTTGCACATGAATATGCATAATGTATGATTCATTATACTGTAAAATGTCTCTTGTGCAATCTCTCCTTGAGTTATTTTACTCACATCTTGAGTGTTTAGCTTATTTAATCAAAACACCCTTTAGAACGTGTGTGCTTCGCATAAAGAGTCCCACTCTAAACACGCTCCCCCTGGACATTGTGTTCCCTGGAACCTCGCCCCCGAGGAGTACCCCCTAAGTGGTTTCTTCTCTTGCTGCTATGTAGGAACTTTTCTGCGACTCCTGAGACAACAGGTGAGTTTCCAGGTGGCACAGTGTGGTCCAAAAGGAGATTAACTTCTTGTTTCACTTGCTGGCCTTTATCACTTTCTGACTTGTAGGCCATCGGGGGAAGAAATCCCATGACTTCTTTTTTTTTCTTTAATATCTAAATTTTTTTGTATATCCTTTTATTGGTACATTTTAGGTATTCAATATAATGTCATTCATTATTGGAAATTTGCACCTTTACATAATCTCTATTGGTTCTTGTTTTTCACCCTTGCCCAGCCCTCCCTTCAACCCCTCCATCCCTCCCTATTTACAAAGACTTTGTTTCCTTTTTTCATTTTCTCATATTAATTCCATTCCCTTCTTTCCTTTCACCTACCCCTCCCACTTCCCCTTCCCTTTTGCCCCTTTTCTTCCTATTTCACATTATCTATTGTACCTTTTAGTCCTTATTTATACTTTCAGTTTCTCACACTAGAGAGACTATTCAGTATTTACATGTGTGTGTCCTGTACATTTCACTTAAGAGTATCACCTCAATGTGCATCCATTTAGCAATAAATTTCTCTAATTTCTCATTTTTGATGGCTGAGTAGTACTCCATTTTATTAAAAAAACACATTTTCTTGATCCAGTCTCCACTTGATGGGCATTTGGGCTGTTTCCAAGTTTTAGCTATTACAAACTGTGCTGCTATGAACATGGGTGCACATATATCACTGTGGTGATTCTTTTGATTCTTTAGGGAAGATACCCAGCAGGGGAATAGCTGGGTCAAATGGGACTTCCAGTCCTAGTTCTTTGAGGTATCTCCATACTGACTTCCACAGTGGTTGCACCAGTCTACACTCCCACCAGCCATGGAGCAGGGTTCCTCTTTCCCCACAGCCCCACCAGCATTTGTTATTGGTTGATTTCATGATAGCAGCCATTCTTTCTGGAGTGAGGTGGAATCTCAGCGTTGTTTTCATTTGCATCTCTGGAATGACCAGTGATGTTGAACATTTTTTCATGTTTATTTGCTATTTCTACTTCTTTGTCTGAGAAATGTCTGTTCATTTCAGATGCCCATTTTTGGATTGGGTCTTTAAATTTGGGAGGTCTGATTTTTTTAAGTTCTTTGTAGATTTGAGATAGTAGACCTTTGTCTGAGGGACCACTGGTGAAAATTTTTTCCCACATTGTGGGTGGTCTCTTCACACTGCTGGTGGTTTCTCTTGGTGTGCAGAAGCTTTTTAGTAAGAAGAGATTTCACTTGTTGATTGTGCTAGTTCATGGGCAACTTTATGAACAACTTTTGTTCATAAAGTCTTTTCCTTTTTTTTGTTTTTTTCCATAAAGTCTTTTCCGACCCCAATGTCTTCAAGAGTTCGACCTAGCCTTTGTTCCAGCCGGTTCAGCATTTCTGTTTTAATATTTAGATCTTTAATCCATTTCGATTTTAGTTTTAGTGCATGGTGAGAGATACAGGTTTAGTTTTAGTCTTTGGGAAGTTGAAACCTAATTTCTCCAGCACCATTTATTAAAGAGGCTATCTTTCCTCCAGTGAGGGTGTTTGGCTCCTTTGTTAAAAATGAGGTGGCTGAATGTGTCTGGAGTTGTTTCTGCATCTTCTAATCCGTTCCAATGGTTCTCAGGTCTGTTTCTTTGCCTGTACCATGCTGTTTTTATCACAGTAGCTTTGCAGTATAGTTTCAAGTTGGGGGTTGTAATACCCCTGCCATGTCTCTGTTACCTAGAATTGCTTTTGCTATTCCCATGAGTTCTTTTCAGAACCCAATGCAGCTTTAGAAGACTGCTCATTGGAAGAAAAAGAAAAAAAAAAGAAAAGCCCTTTCTCTGAATGTGGCGAAACCATAAATGCTAATTTTAAGATCATCATAAAGTGTGACTTGTTTACTTAAATGCATTATAGAACCACTGGAAAGGGGCTGGAGAACCTGTCAAGCTGTCTCCCTGAACCCTGGAGCTAATCATGCGTTGCCTCAATAGTGCTGAGCAGCAAGCAGTCAAGGTCCTCAGCAGTGTGTAAGCGTGGTCAGGCTTCTGGGGGCGGTGCTAACCGTGGGCCTGCTGCCCTGCTGTGGGGGTGGGGTACTCCATAGCTGGGGCCTGGTGCTGCTCCCAGGCAGTGTCACCAGCTCATCACCCGAAAAGTCCCTTGACTCTACTCCCAGCCATGTGCTTCCTGTCCCATGACCCTTCACGGGTTTGTGTGAAGAGGAGGTTCTCAGCTTGCCCATAGGAAGCTGGACTCTATTTACCTTCTGCATTGAGCCCAGCCAGTTCTGGCTTCTTGGTCGAGTTCCCTACAGAGCATTTGAGGCTATTTCTGTAACTCAGGTCTACAAGCTACGTTCACGGTGCTCGTGGGTACAGGCTACTCTCCCTAACGTTAAACATTGGGATTTGGGTAATGTCAGGTAGCAGCGAGCAATGCCCCGTAAGCTCTGGTCCCTTTTGACCCCTAGAACATCCCTTGGCACCATGATTCTTTCAGTGATCTCAACAAGGTTCTCAGAGCCATGCCCTGGAGCGTGTTCTGAATCTGTCTTGACGTTTTGCCTAGAAATCTCCCACTCAGGTTTATTGGGCACAAGTTCTACCTTCAAAGTTGACAGTTTTACCAAATACTGTAATGCTGTATAGTATGTGTCACCAGGTTATCAGTTACCTACAGCAGATTTCTTGACATTTTTTTCTTAGCATTCCTACAGATTTTATCAACTACTTCTAAATTCACCAGTGTCTTTGTGTTGCCTACTTGCTGACCTTAAAAGCAGTGACTCCTCTTTCCAGTTTTTGTTACAGTAACACACCCTCTTAGTGCTCTTACTGTATCAGTTGCCTCTGCCTTTGCCTTGGGGAGGCAGCCAGGCCTGCTCCTGACTGGTGTGAGCATGCTCAGTTCAGGGCTGTGGGTTTCAGCTGCTTTAGACTGGCTGCTATCTTTGGGGGTGTGGGGTTCCCTAGTCCCACTCTGTGCAGGCACAGCCTTGAACTCTCATGCACAGCTCAAACTGCCTTCCTTCTCCTGGGAGCTTAAAGGAGGATTTGAAATGGCCACTCCATGCAGTTAGAATACTCGAGAGGGTGTCAGAGACTTGGAGGGGTCAGGTCTGTCTTCTGAGTTGCTGAACGAAGGGGGCCGAGAAGGAGGTGGAGTACCCTGTCTTGTTCAGCAGTGTTTTGGTTTGGTTTTTAAAGCACCCTAGCATATTTTATTTCTTAGCCATCCCAGGGACGTAATAGCTGCTGCAGCTGGATCCTGGACGAAGAATGTTGGTCATAGCAGGATGTGGTGACACCAGGGACTTCAGGTCTGGTTTACACTTTGCATGAAGCTCAGTGAGAACTTGAAGGAGGTACACTTTCTGGGGCAACATTAGCTTTTGCAAGTGGATTTTTTTTTGCAAAAGACAGCATTATGTAGGGAAGTGAGTGCTTCAGTGGGCTGAATGAAGACTTGCCGCTCCAGTTGGTTCTCTGTATTTCTTGAGGACATCTACCAGCTCCCAGACTGAGCATCTATTTTTCATTAAAATACGGATATTTCCCAATGTAGGCATCGATGGTTTGATCCCAACTTTAATAACACTGTCTCTCTTTTATTCCTCCTTCACCTTTCTCCTCACTAAGAGGCATGCAGCTTTATTCTCCACACTCAACAAATGTCCAATTCGCTTTATTTTGAGAAATAACATTCTGCATTAAGTTATTAATTGGAAAGTAATCTTTTTTTTCTGATCATTTTCCATGCTTTTAATTTGTAGGTCAAATTTCATTAGCTTACCAACTGAGAAAGAAAAAAAAATGACAGGCTTCGGTTCCCTTTTGCCTCTGAGACTATAATTATAGAGCAACATTCACATTTGTTCTGGGGAAAATTAATCTATTTTTAGCTGTAAATTATATGCTTGAGATAAATATGAAATTAGCAGCCTGGAGCTGACTGCTCGGCATCGGCCAGGTGGAAACAGTATCGGAGCCCTGTTCTCAGGTGCTGTTGACGCTAATTGACACACGAGTGCCTGCATCCTAGAAGGGACTGAAGAACTCATTTCATGAGAGCCATTAAATTACTTCTTTTTTAGGTGTGGTATAATCAGAAGAGCTTTCACTCCCTGCCTTCCTACTTAAATCATCTGAACAATCTCATTTTGTGGAGACACTTGCCCCCTGCTGTGGACTGGAGACAGTACGGTAAGGTTATTTTTCATGCATTAGAATCGGCTGCTTTCAAATGAACCATATTTTTAGAATGACAGAAGCAGAAATGAATTTGGAGTCGGAAAGTGAAGCAGAGGGAAGGTTTCTGCCTGGAGCTGATCTGTAGGGAAAGACACACAGGGCTGTAGGTGCTCCCTGCGTCTGCCTCCCAGCAGACGCTAGACTTTCTGCAGACCCTGGCCTCATCCCTCAAGGAGAGGGACAAAGGCCACATGAGAATTTAGTGACTATTTGACCTCTTACAGAAGCAAGAGCAAATTCCCATTTTAAGGACACTTGTGTGGAATGCTGCAAAGGAGAGCACAAATCACAGTGAACACTGTCACTTGGTTTTTATCTGTGTTGATCCACGGTTGGTGATCGAAGCTTTCTTATTTTGGTAAATGACACAGGTCCACTTCTGCAATACAGAGCCAATTTATTGGTTCAAGGGAAGCTTTATTTGCTTTACTTGAATGGATAAGGTATAATTTATCAAGTTAATTCAGTTTTAGTTAAAAAAGAAACAGGAAATATTAGCAACAACAGGCCATATCCATCATAATTTATCCACAAAATACATTTGTTGAAGTGTTAATTTACACAGAGATCAATGCTGAACACAGTGGTGCCTCGGTTCACAAACTTCATCTTTCCGCGATTCTGGTCACAAACCCAATTGGACGAGAATGGAGTCAAATTTCCCCAAAACCTCAACAGTGAAGCGCACCACTGAATTTGATTTGGTTCTTGTCCAATTTGGTTTGCGACCAGCATGGTGGAAAGAATTAAGTCCCTGAGCCGAGGCGCCTCTGCCATTACTCTCACATGCTTTCACCTCATTCTAATGTCACTTCACTTTTCCGTATTTGTTTTCTCTCCCTTGACAATTTTGCTTTTCAGTGCTGGGGACTTGAACCCAGAGCCCCGCACATGCTAGGCAAGAGCTTTATCACTGACTCACACCCCCTGCCTATTACCAGTTCTTAAAATAAATTGACTTTGTGGCACTGCAATAATTTCATAATGACAGTGAGTAATATAAAACATTTAAAATGTGTGTGACTAAGATACACTAAAGTCATATGGAGGAGGGTGTGTATGAGAGATCTGAAATGTACCGGGACTGTGTTAATACTTCACATCTGTGCTCTCATTTAATGTTCATATCAATTTGGAAGAAGGTAATATCTGCCTACCTTGCTGACTAGAAAGCAGATGTCCGAGAAAGCAGCAGCTGTGGGCCCCAGCAAGTTAGTAACGGGCCGTGACTGGATTCTAAGCCCAGCTAAGAGGAGCCCTGGCTTTTCTGCTGCATGCGTAGAGGGCCCTTCTGAGGACACACTGCCTCAGGCCTGCAGCAGGCGGCAGATATGTGTGGTCAGGAAGCTGTGCTTGGGCTTGGGCACCGCAAGACAGGTCTTTGTTTTTCCAGGCGTGGCCAGGGACTCAGGACCTTGTTCTTGCTGAGCATGCTCTCTACTGCCAAGCTGCACGCCCAGCCGGCACTGAGGAGGGATCCCAGTGCGTGTGCAGACAGTGAGGAGTCTGGGTTGACTTCAAGGACAGGGGAATAACTGTTGATCTCCCTGGAAAGATTGGCTGAGCTCAAATTCTGCTTGACCTGGACTGACAGGGTGAGAAGTACGGGCTTAATAGTCGTGGGACAGTCTCTCCGAATACCAGGGATACGATTGATAGGGCCAAAGGTATGAGTTAGAAAGAATGATCTAGAAGCCATGGTGGAAGGGGAGGGCTGGTACCAGTGGAGGGGCTACTGAAGGGCCAGGCCAGGCGAGATGGGGAGAGAACAGTGAAGGTGGGGAAGGTCGTGGTGCTGGGGCTAAGGGCCAGAGAGATGTAAGACTCTGAAACACCAGTCCCAGCTTTCTGTGAAACGACTTCCTGTGCAGTTCAGGGACATCGTGGCAATGCTGAGAGGAAGAATTGTTTTCAAGGAAGGGGAAGGTGGCCTGCGCGGGGTCAGAGATGGTGGCCCTGGCCCCATAGAAGCGACAATGTGCAAGGTTCAGGGATCTGGGGAGAAAGTCAGCCGCATAGGGGTTCACCCTGAGCCCTCACCCCGAGGACCCAGGCTGCTGAAGGTGCCAGGAGGTGCTGCCTGGGGCAGAGACGCGGGGAAGGCTGCGGAAGGTGGGGAGAGAGCCGGCTCGGGCCCAGGTGGGGAGGCAGGAAGGGGCAGAAGACTCCAGAGTCATCAGGGGAATGAGTGTAGGGACCTGGCCAGACCCGAGGGCAAATGCGATAGTTATGAGAATGGAAATCAGAAGAGAAAGGATGAGGAAACTGTGTGTGTGTGTGTGCCTGTGAGTATTTGTGTGTGCACATGTGTGAAATAAGGAATAACGCGAAGCTTCAGCAGGCTGAGGAGGTGAAGAGGTGTATTTTGAACATTCAGAAATATTAAATGAACTGGATATAGTGGTACAGAGGCTCAGGACTCCTGCAGCTGTGTTGGGAGTTGCCGCCAGTGACGACAGACTGCAGCGCAGGACTCTCCTATCAGGCCTCGGCGGCGCTGCCCAGGCCGCGGGGAGGGGACACGGAGGTATCAGCTGCTCTTGCTGCCCCAGCATCTGTTAATGAGAACCACAAACACAGATTCGGGATCCAGGCCGGGTGTTCGACTGCACCCCTTTCCGCTCCCTCCCTTCCGGAAGCACGTTTGTGGGTGGTCAGATCCACTTATATTCATTCGGTAGTGAACTACCATCGGGACGTTGACATTTTGCTGCCAAAGTGTGGTTGGTACAGCCTGCAACTGTCCTCGTCCTTGCCCAGCGCAGGACTTTGCAAGCTGCCGTGCGGCCCAGGCTCTCTCAGGGAAGGGGCTGTTGACGCCAAGCTGTCCCTCAGCTTCCTCTCCTTATTGGGCTGCCTAACCCTTCTGCACCCCGTGGGTTTCCGCTCAACTGTTGTTTTTTTTTCTTCAGTACTGGGGATCAAACCCAGAACCTTTGCACTGAACTACAGGGCCTTTTTAAGTCACTAAATTCCCCCGGCTGGGCTTGAACTTGTAATCCTCCTGTTGCAGCCTCCCAGAGTGCTTGGGTTACAGATGTGTACCACCAGGCCTGCCTCCTGCTCAACTTCAAGGCCTGACTCAGGTGTCTCGTAAATCCATCAGGATCCTTCTTTTTTTTTTTTTTTTGGTACCAGGGATTGAACTCAGGACCTTGTGCTTTCCATCAGGATCCTTAACACCCTTGCAAAATGACTTAATGGCTTCATCTCTCTTCTCCCAGTCACTAGCTTCTAAAGTTCGTCCCCACATGCATTTCCAAGAAGTGTTCATGTATCATAACATAGTTTCAAGACACCTTGTTAGCTCATTACAACACTCAGTGGTTTTCATTGCCGTTATTGGTTTGCACCTCTGTCTTTGGTAATAAGAACGTAAACTCCTCACAGAAGGTGTTTATGTTATGGATGTTTGTGTTTTTCTAAAGTCTTTATCCATAAGAGGATTTCAGTAAATGTTTATTTAAATAATTGATCCTTGGTACCATTCTTTGTACTATGTTTACATTCTGTAAAAAAGATAAGTGTGCAGCAAAGTAAATGTGTGCTGCTTTTATCATTACGACTTTCTAAGTTGGCATATACTTATTGGATTAAAATTAAGGGGAGATGTAGAAGAATGAACATGAGAGGAAATTTGCTTTAGTAAAATGAAAGGAATAAATCAAAAGAGAAAATCAAACACATTAGTTCCCAAGCAGGTAAGAGGGAACATCCTCCAGGAAGCGACAGTCACAGCATAGGGGGACGGGCGCTGTGCTCTTCCTGCACTATGTGAGGCAGTGGTGGAGGTGGGGATGACAGTTCCCAGCCTTGGAGTTAAACTGCTTCACCTTCACACCCAAGCCCGGGGATTCTGCCAACAAGCACAGCCACGGGAGAGGAGTGAACTCTGGCCGTGGCACAGGGGCATTCCTACACCATGGTCCAACCGGCTGCACACTGTGTTCGTCTGGGAGTTTTAAAAATACTGATTTCTGTTGCAAACCCAGAGACTCTGGTCTGATTGATCTGGGCAACTTGAGAGTAGGAGTTTCCAGTGTCCCAGGTGATGCATGTGCAGCTGTGTTTGAACTGGGAGACATAGCTGATTCACATGTTCATCATGGAGAAGGGAAGTAGACAAAGAGGGAAGATAGGAGCCAGGGGCCCACAGTCCCCTCAGTGGGGCTGGGGACAAGGCAGACAACAGCTGGCTCCTGAGGCTAGGGAGGACCAACTGCATCCAGAGCTGGAAGAAGCTCTTCTGTGTCCTTTAATTTTTCTTTAGGCACTGACATGAAATAACTGTCTACATTAATGGGTACAATGTGATATTGTGACTCATGCATACATTGTGTGATGATCAAATATTTATATTCATCTCATGGAATATTTATTATCTCATTCATTATAAAGCCTCTCTTCTAGATATTTTGAGATATCCAGTGGAGTATTATTGACTATAGTCACCCTACTGTGCTATAGAACACCAGAAACTATTTCTACTCTCTGTAACTGTGACTACTAACCCTGATATGTCAACTTCACTGGATTAAGAAACACCTAACATGACATAAAATAAAAGTAATGAATAATAATAATAAAAAAGAAACACCCAGCAGATTGGTAGAGCACATTCCTGATGTGTCTTGGTGTGTGACCTTGGGGTGTACATCTGGTCCCTGTCCCTTCTCTCTGGCCCTGTTCTCCTGCTCTGCCTCCCAGCCACTATGAAGTGAGCAGCTTTGCTCCACCATGACCCTGAACCATGATGTTCCTGTCTTGGAGCCTGCTTACCATGGACTGACACCTTGGAAACCATGAGCCAAATTAAATCTCTCCTCCTTTAAGTTGTGGGTTTTGGGTACTGTGTCTCAGCAACCAGAAAGCTAACTAATACAGTAACTTTATAGCCACTTTTCCAACTTCTCTCCATTGTCTCCTCTTCCATACATTTCCCAGTAGTTCGC